GGTAGATAGCTGTAGACCCTTGTCGACCGTGTAAGACTAATGTTCTTCCGCTTAGTTCGTATATGCAAAGATTTGTTTGAAATCTGAATTACTTTGTAATTCATTTACGTCATGCACTCCTAATGATTGATGATCATGTCGATGTTTGTAATGAACTGGGAATACTACATTATTAACTGATCTATCATTTAAATGCTTGCATTTAATATCATTAAGTAGCGTCAATCTTTGAGCACGTCGTTAAAATCATGTACAGCGAAGTTGACTAGAGTTGAATAGACTCCACTTAATGCGCGCGTGTTTCGAAAAATTGACTCGCAAGCTTGCGAGCTAAAAGTATGAATATGTAATGATTGCGGTAATAGTTGTTTTTGTTGAACAAGTAAAATAAAATATAATAAACTATGTGCATTTATTTCCACAGACAAATACGCTGGTCTAGTAATACAATATCTGCTTTTGTTTTTTTCTGAGAATTGTGTTGTATTGAATGTTTTCAACTTGATCCATGTTAACCATATTCAACAGAAAAATACAACGCGCCAAGTAGGTCGAAAACCTAAAATAAAGTTTTACTAGATGTGATACATCTGAAGTGAAGAGTTTGACGCTTTCACTCAAGTAAAATGAAAAAAGCATACTCACACGCAGCAATCGTTGTTTTTCTATCAATATAGGCTATTATAATTATTTTAACATCTGTAAATAAATCAAGGTTCCATGAGTATCAATATTGTCTTTCAAAATTTAAAATAGATCATTAGATGTTTATTTTACACAGGAACTAAAATTTTGACGATATTTAGGATTCATATCAAATTTCGCTAAGCAATGATCAATTTTAGTAAATTTTCCATTATCAATAATGCTATACAAAGGATTGATCGATATTGATTGATCACCAAGACGTAATTCAGCCGTAGACGATAATAAACGATTACACCATTTCGTCGCTAGATGCGTTGCATCTTGAAAAAATAATAATAATTGTTGTTCGCGTAAAAAAAACAAGGCCAACGTGATTTTAATTTTCCTGTAGAAGCTTGTTGATGTTGATGAACTAGAAAATTTGGAGGAGATGTAAAAATCCACTCATTAATCTCATGGCACGTACATATTTGGGTGCGTGTTACCAACTCAGATGGTTACCAAGCCAGATGGGGTTAATTAATCAAGTCACTATTAAAGTTCCGCAAGAAACCTATTTTTTAGAGTGCAGATTGTGACCACGTACTTTGTTGAATGCAACCCTTCCATATCCATTACTCAACGTCAGAAATACGATCAGTATGAATTTTTGGTGATCAAACTAGTCGTTGTATCAGTATCGACATACCTACTAGTAAACTGGCCCATGTATCAATGATTCGTCGATAGTAGAAAAAATTCATCTATCAACGACCATTACGGTCAATAATAATTTCAAATAAGTATGAGTCGATGTGGTATTCCATTTCAAACTGAATTCAAAAAAGAAAAAAATACCTGTACTTTTCCCAAGACCTGGGGTTTATGGGGTCCTACACTGAAAAAAAAGGTGTCACACGAAACCCTTGAGGTTTCGTCGAGTTTTACAATACCATATAAGTATCCGTAGAATCATACGAAACCAGTATGAGGTTTTGCGAAATCCAAGGTTCTGTAAAAGACTTCAGAGAGTTTTAAAATGTAAAAAGGTTTCGTCCGGAACCCTTCGAATTGTGTCTTACCCCAGAGGTTTGGTCAAAAACCCTTTCGAGTTTTGTATTCAGAAGGGTTTCGTAATAAACCTTTTTGTACAATTCGTTCATCAGTACATTACCATTCAAAATAATAACTTCTACTTTCTACTGTTCAGAATTTTCGAAGAACCCCATTCACACACAACGAGAACATCAGTTTCCAAGCTTTTCCCAATTTGTAAGAGGATCCCACAGTATAAAAGCTTTTGACTGCTACACAAGGAGACCATCATGTCAGTTCAATATATTTCTGAAGAACGTTTTCGACCACCACATTGCACCGATCAAAAAGTCAATTGCTGCCACAATAAGATTTTTTATTACAACTCCGGGCAAAATTGTCCAATAACTTTGTAATAGGTTATCGCGGTCCAGCAACCCGAATATGTAGCCAGTTTTTCGCGTCGAGTCCCCATTGGTCAGAAAATCGGTCCCTGCCTAAATCCAAAACTGTAAAGGTAGATTTTTTATTTCAATTCGGAGATAAATTCTGAGGCAACTTTGCAATAGGTTATCGAGGTCCAGCAACCTGAATATGATTTTTATTTAGATCAAGGGTCATTTGATCAAATAATAATGGTAAGTTGTACTTTAAAACTTAAGACATGGTGAAGTATTTGTTTCGATTTAGCGAAAGGGTCACTTGAACAAATGATAAGGGTGAGTTCGGATTTGAAAGTTACAGGTTGCTGAATTCTTTTTCTTCTCTTTAGATCCAGGCTCAGCTCTACAAATATTAATGATAACTTCCATTTTTATAAGTTACAACCTGAGGAAATATTTTATTTATATTTAAATCCACCCTCAGATGAATAAATACTAATGGTGAGTTCGATTTTAAAAGTTACCACCTGATAAATCATTTTATTTCTTCTTAGATCGATTCTCAGAAGAACCAATATTTAATGGTGAGTTCCATTTAGAAAGTTAAAAGCTGATGAATTAATTCNACTACAGAATACGGCAACTTTCAGACATCTTTCCTGGTGGTTTCTACAGAACCCGGTTCTTTTTTTAGAGAATGGGTGTGTTTTGCAGTGAATAGTGGTGGAAAACTTCTTTCATAATGGAGCATAGCACCCGGCGGATCTTTCATCCAATATTGCGTGGTGAATTATACGGGACCCCAAATACGAAACCCCTGTTATCAGCTATTAAAATTAAGGCTTTTTACGAAACCTCAAAGGATTTTGATTTGGTTTCAAAAATCGGATACCTTTAGGGTTTCGTATGGTACCTTTTTTCAGTGTAGAATAACCGTAAAGAATTCGAGCCAGACGACTATGAATGAAGTTTCTTCACCAAAGTTACACCATAATCTCTTTAGCGTCCACGCTTCGCATGCTTCAACCACAGCTCAAATAGTCAGTCGAACTCGATATAGTCCCAAAACAAGAAGTATTCTGTTGATTTCACATTTCTGAATTCATATATATGTATATATCACTATAGCTATGTCTTTTTTGGACGTGGGGTCTACGGGATCTAGGGATTCTAGGGTATATTCGATTAATTCAGTTGAATTCTGAATTCATCGAAGACTCCCTAGACCCTCCGTCCAATAAAAACATACACCTAGAGGGATATACATATATATGAATTTAGAATTCAACTGAATTCATCGAAATGAATAGTTTCGAAGATCCCATAGTCCCTCATTTCTTTTTGACATGACGGATCATTTTGTTGTTCGCAATTCAGATTGAAATCGTATACCCCATTGTATAATAAGTATATATAATGAAAAAAAAAGAAAGTAAACAAGATAGATCGATGAGCATCCTATAACTGGCATCGCTTTCAACTTTGACTCACCTCACCTACATAAACTCATATTCTTGCTTTAAAGATTGGATCTAAAAAAGTTTTTAAATGCAAGAAAAAGAAGCTTTTTATTTAGAATCTTTAAAGTTTCTAATGTTGTTGTCTGCTTAGTTGCTTGTAAAACGTCATTTTTCATATATTTCAAATGATAATCAAAACGTTAGTTGGATAAATAACACACTAGACAGAAAAATAAAACCATGTGCCATGCAGCCTGTTCGGCAGTCGAGCTTAATGACGAAATGCTGGAGTCATATAAAGTGCTGGCCACTTTTGCAATCATTGCTTCAAAGCTTTCAAAGCGAGCATTCAGATTGTCTAACTGTTTCTGCTTTTCGCTCTCATTTAGAAAAGCAAAGTGAATGCTATTATACACTAGTGCTTTTATTTCCAGGTAGCTTGGCCTATAGCGATCACTAAAAATCAAATATTCATTACTCAAAGTTGAGCGCGATACAGCTGCATCGTCCGTGGCAATCACTAAGGGTACACCATGTGCTTTATATACTAACATGGGATGTGCATTGTTTTCAATACCCAGTATAAATGCATTACTACTCATAACCGCTTCAACGACTATATTGAGTTGCTTCATCTTTTCCAATAGCTCATATGCATTATGCTCGTAAAATATATCGATGCCATGTCCAATTCGACTTGCACCAGCAATTTCTATCGCTTCGCGTATGTGAAATTGCAATCCCTCTGGTGGTACTAGACCAAAAACAAGCTCACCTGCATGCATTGCGAGCTTTACAGTGGGAAACCGTTGCTTAAGAAACCGAAACATTTTCATATGTAGTGTATAGTCCCGCATCGATACAATACCATTTTCTGGACCGACAATATTGACGCCAACTATTAGATCACTGCGTATAGCACTCGAAAAAGCAGAAAACAGACTACCAAAAACTTGGGAAGGTGAACTGCCTCTAGATACATAACTTTGAAAACGGATTGCGAAATTACCATCATTGATTCCAGCTGCTGATGTGTCAATCATTTTTACGTAATTATTAATTATTGTATTAACATTACTATCATTTACAACCATGTTAAAATAAGCTGTTAGCGCTATGTCTATTTCAGAGTCGTTGGACTTTGAATTCAAGGAATTCAACTTAACATTTAGTTCATCTGTAACGCTAATACTTGGCCCACTTTTCAACATCGTTTCTATGTATTGGACATTTTCACTAATGGCTGTATTTTTTAATAACATTAATCCCTCATTATAATAACTATTACTGATCGGACCAAAATAATCAAAAGTATCAAAAAATTGTTTACTTGGCGGCGACTGTTCGTGATAGTGGTTAGAGTAATCAATGGTCGACCAACGTTTCAATAGTGCACGATAGAAATCATTATCCAAATATATTTCACTAACGGTGATGCACAGAGCTTTTTCTGAATCTGTCAAGTTAGATACTCTAGTTTCTATTTTGTACTTTTGGATCTTAAGAGTTTGATTATCTTCGCGGTATACACAGTAATTATTTCTAGCAACCCAGTTAAGATAAGTTTCAGAATAGATGGAGCCCGAATAGTGATGATGTAAATCACCACCTTTCGGCATGTTGGTTATGAATATATTGAGTTCGGAGAGTTTGCTAGTATCACCAATAATAAGCCTTTTATAGTACTCCATTGTTGCATCAATATTCTTATTGGATTTCAACGTTGCTGCATTATTAGTTTCGATACAGAAAATTACAGCGTAGATGAATATTACGAACAAATGCATTTCCATAGTTTAAAATGATAAGCTAAAGATTTATGTATACCTTTCTTTAACAGAAATAATACTTACCACTAAGATTCTTGCTGAAATATTTCTTTTTTCAAAAAAAAGCTAATCTTACTTATCTATGATAGAATAACTGAGAGACAATTTCGACGTTGACATAAGATGAAATAAAAAGTTTGATAAGAATTTGGAGACACATTAAGTGTTTCTTTTTCTTTCTATCTGAAAACTTGGGATGTGCGTGTTTCTCTTGTAATCCGCAAACACACTCACACCCACACCCAAAAATGACTTTTCATGCGAATAGTTAATATCATTTTTAATTTTGAAGATACAAAAACAATTGCGCTACCAACATTGTAGAGAAAACATTTTCTACAATCCTATACTAATTTCATCTTCAGAACTTCAGTTATATTTAAATATCATTTCTTCTGCGAAGAACTCCAGAAAAAAGATCGATGCTCATTCACTCCATTGAGGCACTGGCAAGAATAGGTCTCAGGAAAACCGGCGTGAGAAAGTATCTTGATAAGATTTCGAGAAACTAAAAACGCAGACCCATATAAAAATGTTTTTACTACTATCTTGGTAGAGCAAATTTCTTTTGCATCTTCAAAATTATAAAACGTATTAGGTGTGCATATGAAACGCGCACTAACATCAATAGAAGCCATCATATCGGTTTTCATATTGAAAGCTTTAAAAACGACTTTTGTTGATGTTTTGAGTTTAATTGAAGAAAATAAGTATAGAATTTACAAACGATTTTCGTGCACTATTTAATAGAGCACAAAAACAAAGCCGAAACAATAAACAGATTTCGACATTATCGCTGTTATTTTTAACACATATTCATTCGTATTTGTCTAAATGTAATTTGTTGCCTTGAATGAATTCGATAACTGCTTAAAAAAACAAAATAATATATCAAATATGAGGTGTATCACGGTTTGATTGTATCGAATTCTAAAGAAGAAAATTTACATGTAAATTACTTTTTAATTATAAAAGAGTGATTCATGATAATCTATTCATTCTTATAGTTGACTGATTTTTTGAGTTTACAGCGCGGAGATTTCCATGGGGACACAAGGTTACTTTGATAATAATAAAAAAAGATCGTACTTCGTTCGACGGGTCTGATTGAGTTATTTGTGAAATATCTTCAAATGAAACTAGACCAAGTTCAATAGCTTCTGTTAGCAAATAGGATTTTTGTGTTGTTTTAAGTTGAATATATCCATCGGATGTCAATTCGCATTCGCCATGAATAAGTATTGTATTTGTAAATGCTCGCAAACTATTAACAATAGTTTTCAATAAAGAAAATATGACATCCTCATTTTCATTGATTTGTAAGATAGTTTTCGGTAGTTTTTGTTCGGTTGTATCAGTGCGTAATTCACCAACAATGAATCCACAATAAAAAGCTTCATGAATTGACATGGACATACTCGAACATGAATAAATAAATAGTTCTGTATCAAGGTAATCATTGTCAATAGCTTGTCGATATGTAACCATGCATTGATTGATACTATCATAAACTTGACGAATGAAAAGTTGTGTTATTACTGGATAATATTTCGAATGGTATTCTACGATCATTTCTTCACAATCAGTTTGATCATTGATTGTAAATTCTATTAAACCTTCACTTGTTGCTGTATGCTAAAAGAAAATAAATACAGTGCAAGATGCTACTCCACAGGACACATACGATTGGAATCAAATCATTGAAACTAAATGAAAAGAACTATGAATATACTCCATGAAATTGAGAACTTTGTTTTACCAATTTCGATAGTAACCATTAGAAAGAATGCCTAATGTATTCGCAAGTTGTGCATCAATAAATGTTTGAGTATAGGGATTGAGAACATTTTTTATTTGTAATTGTTGTGATACAATTCGATTGAATTTTATTATTTTTTCTGCATTATCAAATAGATTATTCATTCGATTTTATGATTGAAGAAGAATTCACAAATACTGCTACTGTTTTTTTTCTGTGTTGTTAGTTTTTGAAATACGTCCACTAATTAATTAGATAGCTCACACATTAGTAGTGACATCTAGTTTGTTAGAAAAAATAAACTCTGATGACTTTTGTAATTCATATCAACATACACGTGATATTGTAACATTGACAACGGATTACTGTTATTCAAAGCATTATGTTTGACGTAACATGATATTCTGAATTCAAATCTATATCATGAATTTGTATATTTTTGACAAAAGTACAAAAGACTTAATCTTATAATTAATTCGATACGAATAATGAAGAGTATAATATTAGAAAATAAAGAATTGTAAAATCAATATTCTTATTCACATTATTCAGTTATATGTATCTGAAACAAACATAAAAAATTCAAACTATGATTGTTATACAGGTTTAATCCTTTTTGTTCTGATTCCATCAGTTTTGATTGCATTTGATGAAGCAGAATGTTTATGATCTCGAATGGCGTCTACATCTAATTGCAAATGAGTAACAATAGATGTTTGATTTATATGAACAATACGTGTTAATAGTTCAATTTGTTCGTAACCATCAGTATAAAGGCGAAGCGTTGACCACGTCAATAAACCAAAGCGAGCACTATTTCGTTTACCCGTTGGATGTTGTAATGCTATCAAAGATCATAGATCAAATATGAAAACTATCTAAACAAATGAATTTTTTTCTATTTTCTTACCAATATAAATAGCTGATTCGTAAGTTGGTCTAACGACACACATTTTTTGTTCAATAAATCTCAATGCTAAATCATCATCTTCTCCGCCCCATCCCCAATATAAATTTGAAAATCCATTAAATTTTTTATACATATCAAACGTTAATAGAAGTACACCACCGACTAGAAATTCATAATATCGAGTATAACCTCGGGTATCATTCAGTTTTCGAACACGTATCGTTGTATGTTTCGGATGACTGCGTTCACATGTGTAATAATTTCCATCATTTTCAGGTATTAAATCAACGTCGTGTAATATCAGACATGTTATGTTCAGAGATTGTTTTTCAAGATAATTGATAGCCGTATTATATAATCGACCTTTGTTAAAGCGTGGCGTCACAGGAGCAACCTTAACAATAGAAGCGAATGAATTTTTAAAGGAGGTAACCATTTTCTATTCATAAAATAAAATTGAAAATTTCATTGATTATGATGATAAAAATCATGAACTGCATACAAAATCGTTATTGAAAGTAAATATCTACATTTTTCACATGTGTCAAATAAATATACGCTAAAACTATTCATAGACGGAGCCTGTCGATTTAAAAAAAACTATTTGAATAATATATTGGTATAATATGAAATTGTAAGGTCAGCAGAAGCTACTGAGTCTATTTACAGTTAATATGAGTATTCGTAGATGGGATGAAAATCAATACGATACTAATCTGTATATATGCGTTTTGTTTTACTGACACATAAACTGAGACTATATAACAGCAAATAAATACATGTGATGACTCGTAACTTATCTTACAATGACAATTTGTCTTTTGGAATTGATCCTTTAATCAATAGTATTTGAGAACGTAACATCGATAAGTAAACCTTAAAAATGAACGATTCGAATTCGCCAACCAAGTAAACAACAATCGAAGAATGATTCCATAGTTTTATGAAGATGAAAAGACGCACATTTTTTGGTCGTATTGAATCATATTATTTACAAAACATAAAATCAACTTTAAAAGCAACAATAAAAGTTTTATCGTCTTTTTAAATACCATCGTAAAACGAAATCTAATGGCTGATATGCTTTTTTTAGACTAAATCTACATTAAAATAAAATTCTATTCTCTAAAAACAACTCATAGTTGACCTCTTCTGAAGTAAAAATCTATTCATTTATGTTCCTGTTTTTACCTGTTCAATAAGTATTACTGTATATGTTAGCTGCTGGCGTCTGAGAAATGCATGTATATTTAATAAAAACGTCTTGGCATTGTAATATCGACCTTGTAATGTTACTAATACAGCTGTACGTTGCGCTGATGTAACGCCAACAGGAAACCATAATCCATCTTTAAATACATAAGGTATATTTTCGAATGTAATATTTTTAGCAAAATGAGTTTCAATCATTTGTTTATTTTTCGGCTTATTAACTAACGTTTTTATATAAAACTGTTCTACATCATTAAATGTTATATTCGTTGATGGTATAACGTACGGAAAAGGACCCCGTAAATATTTTGAATATTTTGGATACAAATTAGCAGGATTATTTCCCGGATTATCGATTTTATTTATCCGACAAGTAATAGATGTACGCATGACAAATTCATAATAAGGCACTACTAGATATTTTGTAGGAATTGTGGGTGCTGGAATAGAAATGATTTCTGTTGAGCCAATAGATTTTTTTTCTTGATTATCAACAGTATTTTCTTGTTTATGTTGATACCTCGTAGTAAAAATAAGAATAAAAATAAATAAAACAATTATGATACACGATGAACTGCGCAATCGACGGAAATGTATTTTGCGCATATTTAAGATAAAGCGGAGAAGAACAATTTTATTTGTGTACTTTTTCTTATGTTGTTGTAAGGCGAAGTGACGAGTGGATATTTTCTTCAAACAGTAACGAAAAGCATTTTCACAATGAATATTTATGAGAAGAAATAGAAGAATTATAATGTAAACGGTAACTTTTGTGCCCCATGTACATCTCTTAATTGTCGAACGAAAAAATGCAGAACAAGAACAAATGATCGATGAAGCACTACTAGGTAAGAGCTTTTGAAGCAGAAAATATGATAAATTGTATGAGTGCAACAAAGAATTAAATATTGTTCTGTCTGTGTTGCTTACATTTTTTTTTCTTTCTCTCAAATATATATATATATAAATATATATTCCCTAAGTTGAGTGGGCCCCTGCATTTCGATGTAAATATACGAGAACATTTCTTTACTGTCGTCTTTGATCAGAATTTTTCGTTCTGTCATGTGTAAAAGTGAATATAAATATAACTAATTTAGTTAAGTTCCATGTGTGAAAAAAATATTCATCTGTGATTGGACGGAAGCGACACACAAGCAAGCTCAGGTAAAATACATGGCAACCGTAGTGAAAACAATTCTGAATGAAAAAAGAAAAAGACAGAAAGAAAGCAGCAAATTTTGCTCACATCGTCGTGTAAAGTTCTGTTTGTATTGAACAAGCACCGTTGGTAAGCATTAAAAGCAAGCATAGCACGCAGGCAGAGAGAGATAGAGAAAGAATAATGACAAACACACAGTAGATATTAATGTTAACATTTACATATAGGTTCACGTTCTATTCAGAATATTACAAAAAAAACGATAATTTGCCTTTTAATTGGTACAACAATGTGATTACAACATATAGAAATAGAGACTTCTAAATGATTGAATTACATTTTTCAGTTGTCAAGGACAAAAACATGGATTCTTTTTTTTAGATTATTCAACATTTAGAAAAATTTTCCATTATAAATTGATGTTAAGAAAATTTTTGAAAGTGAAACATAATAAACTTACTTTCATCAGTTTTTCTATATACTCTATGGATATATATTGTCAAATTTTGTAGGTTCTATGCAGATCAATGATATATATATATATATGATGTCAATAGATTAATCCTTTGTCTGTTTTTATGAATACTCGATTTACATTAGAAAATATTGTTTTATCTTCAAAACATCTTAATCATACTAAGTCCCATGCATGAGTGTTGTGCAATATTTTCTTTCCTTGATCATTCAAACACTCGTTTCTGTTTCGGTTTTTTTCCTTTCAAATTTTTCTATAGTCAAAAAGAATAGACAATCTTTATTTGCCTCTAGCAATTGTTTTATTTGAATTTCAAATAATACGAGTCTTCATGTCATTTTTGCCAAGTTGACAACTCAGTTATTTATTAAAAAATTGTTTTCTTTGCAGAAACGAAAAATATGTTGTCAGACGAGACCATATCAAATTTTCGTTTACATCGTGATACTCGTCTTGAACAAAATGCCCCACCGTTTATTGTTTCTTCAGCATCAAAACAACAACGACGTCTGCCTGTTGAACGTGCTCAATCATCACGTTCATCAAAATCAGCTGTCGATGCTAAAACACGTGCTGTCAGCGATAGTTGCATGGCAGCAGCTATCGGCGATTTACAATGGCTTAAACAAAGTATAAGAGATGGGCCGATTGGAAGTGGTGAAGCAACTAGTGTTGAACAAACTTATGGAAAAGAGGTACTATAATCAAAATAAATAAATATTCTCCGTTGATTATTAATATTATTTTTCGACTTATATTAGGGTCTTGCTCCTATTCATCTTGCTGCATTACATGGCCGACTAAATTGTTTAACGTATCTTGTTGATACAGTTCATATTGATATTGATTTACCAAGTTCTACCGGTTGGCGTCCAATTCATTTAGCTATATCAAAAGAAACAGGTTCACGTTCATTTCAATGTGTTCAATATCTCGTTGCAAAGCAAGCAAAAATAAATATGTCAGTAGATTAACCAGCACGCATAAACTCTTCATTGTGGTTCGAATTTATTTTGTATTACTAGAGCTAACGATGACAAATTGACACCTCTTCATCAAGCAGCCTCAGAAGGTCATGTGCAATGTTTAGAACTTTTACTAACGCATGACGCTGACGTTTATGCTGAAGATAGTCGTAAACAACTACCCATTGACCTCGCAAAATTATGGGGAAATAAAAAATGCGCTAAATTACTTGCAGCTGCGATGTGGCATCAAAATAAGCATTTATCCGCAAAAGAACGTCTTCTATCGCGCAATGCAAAAATGGCTGATATTTTACTTGAAATAAAACGTGAACATGCCATTTTATTTGAAGAGAAAACTGAAGTAAACTATGCGTCTTTTCTCTCTCTTAATTCTTTTCAGAAATTTTCATCTGATATATATATATATATATATATAGGAAAAATTTGATGAATGGTTAGTTAATATAGGAACAGGATCGGCAATTGCAAAAACTAAACAAGAAAGTAAGTGTTTAAACTTTTTTTTATCTGTTCTTTTTCTTATTTGTTTATTGTGTATTTTTGGGTACGAAACCATTGAGTCCTGAAATGCAACAAGACCAAGAAGAATCGAACAGTCAAATGACACTTCCGAAAATTTCTCATGAACATGTAATAAATCAAAGTCAAACAGATAAATCTACTATACCAAAACGTAATCGACCGGCAACATATGTAAATAGAGATCGATGGAATACTTCGACTCATGCCAGACCAAATCCTTATGTACCTAATTTACTAGATAACTATCCACGTGATCCATTTACTAAAATGCCACCTAAACGAGATGCCATAGAAATCTATCGTTTACTTCAAAGTATGAATTAGTATCATAGAAATATTAACATTAATATATTTTTGTTTTCTTTTTACGTTCATTAATCATCAAGGAATGTCACTTGATGATGTAAAGAAATTTCTCAGTAAAAGAAAAGAACCGCTTGTTGATACAACATCTGGACAAGAAAATAAACAGCGACCTGTTGTCTATGCAGCATGTCATGTCGATGACATACAAACATTACATAAGCCAAGAAAGGGCGAAGACTCTTTCCGACCATTACGTCATTTCGATGAGAGTGGTTTACATTTTACGGACGACGCACGACAAAGCATTTTCTATCAACAATTATCGGAAGCAATGGCGGGAGGTGGTGAAAATACTGCACAAGCTCGACGTCAAACAGCAGATGAAAAAGCTAAATGGGCTTTATTTGCACAATATGGTTCAGAACTTATTGATTTCTTAACTGATCGACATGGTCGCTTTAAACGGCAATACGATAAAGTTTTCATCACTTAGAAATGAATTTATTTTATGAGATATTTCTTGGAAGAAAAAGTTTGTGAATAAGAGACCGGATGAATATCTGAATAGAACATGTTTTTCTTTTTATTTGACTTTTCGTTTCGATCATTTTGATGTCTTCTTCTATAAATTTTAGAGAAAAAAAAACGATGCTATTTAAAAAGGAGATGCACGAATTTTTTTAATCCGACGGATTGATTTGCTTCTTGAGACTTCATACAAATTTGTTAATTATGATGATTTTTCAACACTGCAATGCCGACAATTATTCACTCTATTTACTGAGAAGCCGTATAAGGTTAATCTCACACTGCTGATGAATTTATTCAAAAAGTAAAAATCAAAAAAGTTGGGTATTTCTTGTATTCATAGAATTGAAAATATTTCTTTCCAATATATAAAGTATCATATTATATTCACACTCAAGTGACATTATTTTAAAACGTATAAACCTGTTGTAGATGTTCTTTTTAGGCATGCGAAATTATAATAATTATATGTGAACAAACATATCCTAATATTACTTTCGAGTTCATGCACTATTTTAATATCTTTCACTTAGACGTATATTCATTTTTCATAGAGTAAGAATATTTATAAACTACACTACTAGTGTCGTCGCAAATGGTCTCTTCTAACAAAATTGAGACACTAACAAAAAGAAAAAAAATCTGAAACGAGAGTGCTATGCTCTTCCATTTGTTAAAACTCATTTTGAAGTAATTGTTTTACATAATAAACTGAAGATTTAAGCTGATTGCCGCAGGACTACTTTTAACCAATGATTGAAAAATTTTAAAGTGTGCATTAAAACGCTTGAATTTCTTGTAATAGCTAATTTTCTACAGCTATGAAACATCGTTGAAGTATTCAAAGATGTAATGGAAGAATTATCTTAAGCTAATAGTTCATTCTAATCTATATAATTAGTATCACGCGAACTCGATTCATTCGCATATGCTGAATTATAGTTTCAAGTAAGAAAACATCTAACTCACCTATTCTTGACGAGTGAAGCCAGATAAAAAACAACTAATAGGCTATTGTTATGGTTGAATAGAACAAACACAAACAGAAATAAGTATTATTACTATTAACTACGCCAATAAATAGATGGGTTTCATATTGCGTCAACTAATAGATATGCTGAAATAAACACACCATTGTCAGTCAATATATAATACTTTCAAGCATGCAGTTGTTATCGTTTGAGAAAAATGCAATTGCTTTAAGTTTTCTCAAACGATAATAAACATTTCTTGTCTCATATTTGCTTTTTTTCTGCAGCAACACTAGTTAGCGAACGAAAATGGATGCCAATAAATGGTACCATATGTTTAGAGAAGCCGATGATTTCAAATAGAAAGAAAAAGTGAATTTTTTTAACTTCAGTGAACAAATAATTAGATAAATCAATAGTTATACAATACCATTATACATAAATATTTCATCTTTTTCGGTGATTTTCAAAGCCGAAAAATGTAAATTACATAGGCAGACAGTTTACTAAACATACATTCAAAATAGTCATTTCCTTTCGTCTAAGAATTGATTCAGATTTTATTTATGCACACTTTATTCCGAACAATATGAAATGATTTTTCTTGCCATAAAAGTCAATAATTGTGATCATTTGGAATTCAAGCGCACCGAGCTTTTCTTCTTCTCCCATGATGTTTAATTTGATCTCGAATAACAATCTGAATGAGATAGATAACACATTGCCGTAAAACACCATTGCTGTGAATCAACATGAAAGCATTCTAATTGTTTTTAACTCCAATAAATACAAAAAATAAAAATAAAACAAAAGACACAATCGAAATATTATTTTCTATTCGCATCTTTATGACTTCAATATTGTTTTCATCTAACGATAAAGGTATTACTAAATATGTCCTATGCTCAACTATCGATATTTGAAGGTTGATAGATTACCAAATACAGCCACGTAAGCATGTATAAATCTACAAGAGAATTAAAATAATAATTTCGAAATTAGGCACTAACCAAGGCAAACGATGATTTGATTATATCACGCATAGTTATAATTATCTCAGTTTTATAATTTGCATAAGCTAATTACACTAGCTGACAGATCTTTTTATTCTCTTGAATGATGAATATTATCAGTATAAAAGCATATTCAATAGTACGGAAACATAGCGATTAAAAAGTAACTGATAAATTAATATACAACTGCAAAGCAAATTACAAATAAACAGAAGTCCATCCTGTTCAATGAAATCGGCATCCCTGACAGGATTTTTATTTTTTATGAATGCAATAATGAAGATAAATGCGAGTGATATGCTTTTTTCCCTTAATTAAATTATGTTAAGTAGTTTTCTTTCTGTTTTTTTTTGTATAATGTTCTAGTATTTGCGTGATTATTTCTAATGATTGAGGATGTTCGCGTTGACGTCATTTGTAGATGATCAAACATGAATTGAATTAATCCATACTATAATTTTTGTAGAAAACAATCGTCGTAAATCAAAATTGTTCTGACTATTTCCTTGTTGAGAAAAAAGCAATCCGAAATCGTTCTCGAATCTCATGAGAAAATTAATTTTCGAAGATAATCTTGTAAGATTATCATTGATTGTTATTTATTACATGATGATTTTCCAATGAATCATTTGATTACGTATTTAGCATGTTTGAAGATCAGGCATATGAGCAATCTGTCATACCCTTTTGTCATACAAAATATTCTCTTTGTAATAAATATAAAAAAACACATTTTCTGATTCATTTTTATGAATGATTGCTTACATATAGCATCCATGCTATCATAAAGCTTTTGTTAAAACTGTCAATATTGAATTGTTGTTTGCAAGCCTTGAGAATAGAAATTTTTCTGCTAAAACAAAATAGTAGATTAGCTCTTATTCTCTTATGGATTCCAAAAATTTGTTTTCACATGTGCAACGTTTAACATTGTTAAGAAAATCTTTACCTAATCAAATATTTACAAGTTATATTTGCTCATACTTTGTGATTTAACGCTTGTGCATTTTTGCTTAGCTGAAACTACTACTGACTTATTTTCAAGGGTAAGTTCTATAGCTGATTGATAGAAAAGATTCAACGTTTGAAAGCACTTTTATCTGAACGAAGTTGATTCCTCACTTTGAAATGTTTGCTTTTGTTGGCAGAAGTCACTTCCTATGCATTAAAAAGCAATAAAAGAAAACGGAAATGATTTGAGTCACAGACCCATAGAAAATTCTTTGCTTGCCATTTTATGATAAAAGAAAAACGTCCTCTTACTTTTTCTTCTACCATTGTATAGGCTTCAAAAATAGCAATAGTTGCGTCTTATTTACACATTCAAGCGTATGTAGATTAATAAAAATGATAGAAGTTGATAGATGACAAAATCTCTTTCTCCTCGCTATTCCGATAATAAACGACGTGCGCCGGATTCCAAGTTTCTGTCGTTGTTATTTAATACGATGAGGATGGTGGCCGTGTCTCTTATTCTTTATCTTTCTTTTAGCTATTGTCAATCATCGATTTATTTATGCATTCTCTTACCCACTCTCTCTTACGGTTGTCACAGATATTCGTAGCTGTGCTAATACCCATATACAGAGTAAAAAAATATAAAATATATGAGAACGAATCTTTTTTTTTCGATCCTTTGGTACACGGTGTACATGGCAGTGAAAAATAAAGAACAGAAACAAATCTCTTCAGGATTGCACCACGGGATCAACGTACAAGTAGTATTGATGATTAATCATTCATCAAGGAATGTCTCTTATAGGTATAGATGATAGTTGACTAGAAATATTTTTTTCGACATATCTTATATTACAAATCATGTTTTGATTATTTTCCATCCACTATTATAGCGTAAATGTCGAGGTCATAACACCAAAAAATGATTATTTATTTAGGAAATCAGTCTGTCAAACAGGTAACTATTAATTGCTATAATAAATGACCGTATAATATACTATTACGCATAGTATTTTTTTTCAATACAAATACTCGTCAGTTGTGTAGTAAATAATTAGAATCTCGGCCGAAAGATTTTTTTCTCCATTGGAACGAGTTTTGTTGCTATAGAGAAAGACAAAATTTATGAATTAGTATTCCACTAGGAATATTTACAATGATGATTGTGTGGAAGAGGAAGAAGACAAAAATTTGTAAATTATCCTCAAACATTCATTCTGTTTTTTTCCTGCGTTCTTTTGTCGACCAAATTTATGTAATAATTTATATTTCTAGAGAGCTTCATTTATTTTTGTTTTAATTGATCATGAATACTGATCATATAAATTATCAACAAAAAATAGCACAATCGACGAGCGAAGAAAAAGATCAGGAATTATTAACAAAAAGTGAGAATGCGCCAAAGCAACAAATAAATTCTACTTCAACAGGAATAAATCGAAATTCAATATCAACAAATGATGAATCTCAAAGAGTTAATCAAATTCCAGAAAATTCTATGAATTTATTAACACCGATTGAACGTCGAGAACGAACACTGACTTTATTTGTAATCGGTGTTATTTCTCTTCTAACCGGTACAATCCATATGGTCATTTATTTTCAAATGAAAATTTTCCTTTTTTCTTTTTAGGTATTGACTATGCAATTATCTTACCAACAGCTTGGGGTTATATAAATACATTTATGCAATATCATTATGGTGGATTCGTTATGGGCATACTTTTATCTGTTTTTGCTTTATCAGGTGCAATAGCGGGTATTATACTTGGATATCTTAATGATATTGGTATTTCATTGAAACGACTTGTTCTATTTGGCATTATGTTTAAAATTATTGGCAATATACTTTATTTTATTGGTATTAATATTTATATTGTTGTCATATCTCGATTGATTGCTGGCATTGGGATGGGATTAGTGGTAAGAAAATTATTTTTAGTTTTTCTTCTATAGAACTCGTACTTTCGTAGTGAAATATATTTTTAAAAGCTAACAATCCGATTTGATAAACGCAATATAAACGTACTATTGACTTAAAAAATTTTCAATTACTTTCTTTTTATGCAGAGATACGTGTTTTAAACTAGATGGTATTCGAGTTTTACTCGACTACGAAATGCGGTGCGAAGCACACGAGCCGAATATTCGAAAGTAGTGAGAATAAGATTTAAAAAATAAATGATCCACTTTAAGATTCATTGGAATCGATTACTTTTTTTTTTAATTTCCATATACGAATTTTGAATAAAAATTTCGCTTTCACTATTCTTAAATCGGCCATTTTAAATTTCATCACTAGGAGATCTTTCTGAAAATGTAACAGCCAGTTTTCTAACGATTTTTTTCATTGAACGATTAATTATTTTCATGAATCATTATCTTGAATCAGATGTAAAGCAATAGACTATTGGTTAACAACTATTGATGACGTCATTTTAATTAGCGCGAAACTATCAAACAATAAAACCTTTCAACACCTTCATTTTCGAATCATATTTTTAGGCGAACGAAACTTACTATTGTGAATCGGAAAAAGATGTAACAAGTTCGACCTCCATAATTTCATATGTAGTTTGAATGGATTTTCTATCATTTACGATTCTTTAGATCATCGCGCTACTTAATCTAATTGTTTTATGCGTATTCAAGTTAGAAAGGAACAAAAAAAAACTCGCGACGGACTACATGAATGCTGTGCTTCGCACCGCATTAAATAAATACAATAAAATTATCTCCGCATGGTTACCAACAACAGCTACATCGGGTTTCACATTTTTATGTTCCAGGAATTCCTTAGTGAATTTCCTAATGCCTTCAAAAAAGCAATTTTTTACTCTAAGATTTTCACAGTTATAACTTCTATTATCAATAAGACAGGTATCAAGCTGTGAGACTCCCAATCAGACTATATCCTCCGTGTATCACGTAGGCTAAATTATAAAATATTTTTGGGGGAAACTATATCTGCCTTCCTGTAAAGAGAGTTCACCATAAAACGCCTTACCCGTACTTGTTGGACATAATTAAAATGAAATAAGGATTGGGGACGTGTAACAGATTAAGCGTATGTTAATGTTATTTATACTAACATTAATAATAAGGATAATGATGTTTTATTAATAAAGATGGTAACTGTCGATGAAGATAATAAACAACATCTGAACAGGTTAGAGAGAGAGAGAGAGAGAGAGAGAGAAAGGGAAAAAGGGCGGCCAATTAGCCGACAGATCAAGGAGAAAACATCAAAGAGAACTGATATATCCCAGTGGCAAGTGTAGTGTCAATGAGCACCATCTATTTATTGATGCTAACACAAGTTCTCAATCAGTAAAAGTCTCCGAGGAATACTAAAATCAGGGACGTAAGTCAGGTCTCAGAGCAGGGGGAGCGTAAACTGTTTTTTTTCTGTTTCGGAAAACGAAAAAGACGAAATTTTCAAAAGCAGGGGGCATTACGCCTCACGCCCTCCCCCCCCCCCTATTTATGCCCCTGACTACACTCAACACTCAAAATTAATTTTCGTCTAATTTCGGTTCTTATACTTCTTTGTTGTTAATTTTCAAAGATTTTGAACTGTGAGTCCCCTATGATCGAAACGTAATACGAATTAGTTTTGTTCATTGAGTGTACTTGCCTCTGGAGATATGTCTTGATTTTGGTTATGATATTTATTTCATTGGAAACGGCAATTATGAACATGAAACATTTCATATTGAAAGCGCATTTTTTTCAACATTAGCTAGAAAAAGTTCACTTGTTTCTAACACCTTTAATAGATATATTAGACTTTTATTTTGTATTTATAGCCTCCATTGTTAGCAGAATTATCAAGGCGATCTACACCACAAACTCGAACACAACTTTTATCAAAAATACTCGGTATAAATATCAGAAAAACAAAAAAAATGTATCTTTAAAATCGTTTATGTGTTTTGTAGGCTGCCGTCAAATAGGTCTTTTAGTAGGTCCATGTTTCACAATATTTTTTAAACACATGAAATTTAATCTATTGGGTATCAATGTAACCATGCATAATGCACCTGGCTTGCTCATGGCCATCTTATGGGCAATACTAGCATTATTAACTGTCTTCTTCTTTTTTGATCTACCTACAACAACGGTAAATTTATAAATGAAATTGAACAATAACGTAGAGTATTTGATTTCTTTGTGTTTAAGATTAATCATAACTCTGTATCGAATTCATTAAATGATTATACTTTTCTACAAGCTATGAAACGTGTTTATAAAATATGTAAACAACCTGTTATTATAGTAAGTCGTACTTTTAACGATAGTAATAATGAAAGACAGCATAAAAAAAGCTTATTGTCAATATTTTCTCCATGAAAATCTCTTTTTAGAATTTTTTCTGCTAAAATCTTTAATTGATGAGCTAAATCCGATACAAGATTTCCAGTGTTCTATTATAGGTTCTTCTAATAACGTCATTTATTGCCTATTTCAATCAAACCGCACTTGAAACGACATTGACACCGTTTACAAATCAGCAATTTAATTGGCATGAATTGCAAGTATCCATTTTATTTGCCGTTGCTGGTATTGAAATAACACTGGTGTATGTTGTATTGCATTTTATAACAAAAAAATATCCAGATCAATCGATACTTTTATTTGGCTATATTATTCTTAGTATTGCTTGTCTTATTGCTGTTATCATTTTACCATTTTCAGAACCAGGGACAAAAAAGTATTTACCAATTTTTCTCATATTTGTTGCATTAGATATTCTTGCATTGCCACTTATTGTTGTCACAACGACAAGTTTATTTACACAACAAACTAATCATGATGAACAAGGTATTGGCCAAGGTATTCAACGTTTTGTTATAAATGTAGCAACAATCATTGGTCCGTTATATGCTGGTGGTCTACTACAATTTACATGGACAATGCTTTGTTCAATGTTTTTTATAGTCTTATTAGGAACATTCCTTATTGTAGCTATCTATCGATCGTTTAAAAGAAATCCTGATGAAGAATTAGCAGCTTTAATAAATCCAACAAATAATAATCGATAGAAAAAGAAAACGAATTGTATTAATTGTTTTATTTTACGCAATAATTTGTACTGAAAAAAAATTAATATTAATAAACAAGTTTAACTATGTTGTTGTTGTTGTTGTTGTTGCCAGTGAATTATTTCTTTTTTGTTTGTTACATTATTATGAACCTAAAATTTCTTCCGTATCTAATGATTCTCGATAAATGAAATGTATTGTACTTTTTATAGTTGGAATATATGATGAATACTAAAAATAGAACGACTATAGAGATAGATTTTGTTTTGAATTAAGAAATGTTTTTCTCTCACATGAATACAATAAATAATGCATGCAATGTGAATAAGTGTCTCTGAAGTGAGAGTACCATTTAGATTATTGAAAAAGCTGACATCAAACAAGGAGTACAAATAATTCGATATTCTCGAGGGAACGAACGATTTAACTTTCCAAGTTCAATAATATTGGAATTCTCTGATTGGACAACGATGACTAAAGGCCTATATAAACTTAGCACAATATTTGAGTATTTTCGGTCTCTATACAGCTTCCCGATCTATGTTTTCTATCAAGCCGGTTGTGTGCGATAGAGAATTTTAAACTTTATCAAAAATTGGGGTATGTTCTATACACATCCTTACTCAATATTTCGTTCAACAATCCCCATCGGAAATGTTACCATTCTGCAAAGGATAAAATTCTCTACTGAACTCAATCAAACTGCTTTCGACTCAACTCAGACCAGGAAGCTAATCGAAGCTGAAAATATGCGAGATATTACTTAAAAATCGAAATAGATTCAAGAAGAAAAACGAATTTCTTTATTAAAAATCAAAATTAACTTTGAATAAATTAGATAAAAATACTAAACATCACATTCTTGAGCGGTATTACACGAATCTGGAATAGCGAAAACACTTGGATCTGGTTTTTCAACTTTATAGTCATCAAAAAATTGACTTGCAAAACCAGTTGTAGCTCGGAAAAAGAATTGCGATGGTGTACACATCATATTTGTCGATGACGATCGACATGTATCTTCAAAAAATGAATAACCAAATGGGCCAGCTGGATCTGTTGGATCATCAAGAACCCACCAATAGACAGGTCTCGTATAAAGTACACCTGTACCATTGTATTTCACTCCAGCAGCAGTTTGTAAAAAGTTTGGTGCTGGTGGATTCCATGGTTTTTGATAAATACAACATGGGGGTCGACCAGTTGCTCGAGGATCAGTAACAACAAGATAAGCTACTCCATTAACATTTAGAAAGTTACATGTAAAATTATTACTTGTTGCTTCAAAGATTGGAATACAAATATCATGATAATATTCAACCATTGCTGGAAGTGACCAATCATAATAAGTTCGTCCGCGACCTATAGTTGTATTTACGAGTGGAATTGTATTATAGGGAGGCAATTGAATATCATCATAAACATGTGCCATTGTCCATTGATATGTAAAATAGTTTGGCCATATTGGCGGTGTCGGATCAGCATTGATCAAAGTCAAAGAGATAGATAGTAAAACGAATGAAAAACGCATTTTAGCTTCTTTTTTTTGGAACAAAATAAATATGAGTGTTGACTACGGTATCTTTTATATCAAAATCACTTTATCGCATTTTATAAGTGAAAAACACAACTATCGACGCCAATGCATTTTTATTCCCATAATCATGAAGACGTTTTCTTTATTATTTTTAGCACCAAGCTCGGAGTATTCGTTGTCATCATGATGAAGACGTATCTTTTTTCTAGGTTACTTCAGAATACTAATCAAACTTGTTATTATTTATTTCGTTAGAAAATCATACAATTTCAATTTAATTTGATATAAGAAATCGTTAAGCTTTTTCTTGATTTTCAGTAATATTTAATTGTTCGAAATCAATTTCGAATCCTTGTGTATCTTCTCCAGGTGAAGCACACATAATGCCAACCATTATTGATTGTGATTTATCTGGTATTGGAAAATAAGCCAATCTCATCATTTTGAATTCACCATTTTCACCTTCAGCATATTCAATATGTACTGCTTCTTTTTCACGTTTAACACGTAGTTTTAAAACATCAGGTGAACTTATTTGAACGACACTCCAATCCGACCATCCATTAACAGTAACAACTACACTAGCAAATTGATTTCCTTCAACATATTCGACTCCACATTTAATCCAATTTTTTTCATCAATACGTAACATTAGGCCACCTTGATCATAGAGTATGGTATATTTTCCACGTACATTGACCGTTGCTGTTAGTGCTTGTTCACCGGGAAATGATCGATAATAAAAATGACCATTATCACGTTCGAAACCATAATGGGTTTTGCGCCAAAAATCAGTTTTACCATCTGTATGGACACTAATTGTAGATCCATTGTTTGACCATTTTTTTGGTTCGTTAAACCACGTAAAACTCATCTTAAAAAAATTAAAACGACTCTCACAATTATATCAATATTTGCTTTTTCATTTCTTCTCTACTTTGATAAGGCGACATCTTATATTTGCCTTTTCTAAATCCTTGAAAAGCAATGCTATGAGAGATTTGCCAAGTCGAAATTATACTTTATTAGTAGCGAATACTAAAGATGCAGCACCATACCTTCTATGATAAAAACCAAGTTTTACATTTAGTAGTATTCGATCAGTTTTACTACCAGGTTAAGTAAGACTCTTAGCTATTGGATGATTGCATTCGATTTTTATACAAGATTGGTTTTATGTTCGAAAATAAAGTGATATTTATGAGAAGATAAAAGAAAAATGAAACTTAGAAAATAGGTGACAAGTAAACTATGATTTATACATATATATATATATATATTTATATGAAAAAACTATTCATCATTGTTGTGAAGAATCACCATGTTCACTCCCTTCGCTTGAACTCGATTTAAACATTTTAACATTTGTAAAGATCATCTGACTTGTTGCTCGATTAAGTTTTTCAAGATGATCCTATTCAATTAAATAAATAATCATATTAAACAAAATAAAAACTAGCGATCAAAGTAAGAGCCATACTCGGATGGTAATAATATCATTTTGAATTCCGTCATTGTTTGTACAATACCGATTGAGCCATTGATTAACCGTATTCATATGAGAAAATATCACATCAACAAATGGCGGTAATGAAGATGCCGATGTCTCAGGATCTTCATCGACTGTTGCCATTGTAGTAACCGGTAGTGACGCGATTGGTTCATGTGTTTGAACAGAAACATCACAACTTTTATTTATTATTGGTGGTGTAACAAATAACGTTGTATCGACATTCTATAAATAGAATTACAAGTATTTCTATAATTCTAATCGAATGCTTCGAGCAGAAGTGGGGCTTTTCCTTGGGTTCTATCTTTCCGTTCTATTTATTTTTTGCTTGTTAGAGGACGATGCGACTATATGAGATAATTAATAACAGACGTGAAACATGTTTTAGAACAGGCGTAATTCCAATCGGAATTTTTATTTAATTAAATTTACATCATGACGCATGCGTGCATATTTTCAAATTCTTTACATACCGGTGATTTTTTTTCTTCTATTCCGACATGAACAGGACTTAAAATAGTTGAAATGTCAAGGCCTATTAGAAAAAAAGCAGATAGGTGCGAAATTTGTTTTTTCTTCGGATTCTGACCTTTTTCTTCGTCGTCTTCTTCTTCTTTTGTTGGACTTGATCTTCGCGGTGGTTCTGGTAGAGGTAGTGACTATAAATAAATGTCCATTCATCATTATAATATGGATCTTAGTATGATTAATTACTTTTAATTCATCGCATTGTCGAGCAAGTTTTTTACATTCTTCAATTAATTGTTCAATTAGTTTTTTATTATTTTCGTTCGTTTCATTCATCGACTTTTTTGGATAGAAGAAAAACGATTTAGTATGTGTACTTTTCGATATATCAGACAGTTCACTAGAAAATAAACATAGCTTTCTATTTTCTATTCAAATCTAGAGTTCCTACTGATTATTTAAATTTGCTTTAGCCGTTTGAAAATATTGAATAGCATATTGTTCATACAATAATGCAGATCGATTAGCATGTTGTTCATAGTCAATTTGAGCCTGAAAATAAAAATTTCATCTATGTTTCAACAGCAGAACAAAAGGAATTGTTTACTGTTTTAAAAAGTATTTTAGCAGTTTCAAGTAGAATAAGTTTCGGTGGATGCTGATTGAGATTCTCATCATCCAGACGAATAATTGCAAGATGATTGGCAAATTCTGAAGATGAACTAAAACTTTTGATTGAAATAAATTATTTTATTCATTAGACTTGTTTTACGCTTTGTCCATGGCTGTTTGCCACCAATTTTTTTGATTTTGTGTGCATAGATGAGATATCGAATAGAGCAAATAGGGATGTAATGTTGAATCTTCACCGTATAAATGCACATTTTGTTGTGCACATAGAAGAAGAAAAACCTAATCGGCAAGCAAAAACAGAACAAAAATTATTCGTCAGAACAAAAGTTTTTTGTTTTTACAATTATATCTCGTTCGTTTAATGATTCGATTGTTAGTGGTTTTTGTTCGAAATCAATCGGTAGAACTGAAAAATGTTCACGTGTGATACAACGATTTAAAACTAGAGAGAAGCACGCGTTAACAAGACATCCTTAAATAAATATTTGCTTTACCTCCAAGTGACACTCGATCTGCTTCAATCATACAACATAATGTCCATATGCAACAGATTAATTTTTGAGTAGGATTTTTATTCACTAAAATGAGAAATACTTTGTGTAATTAATAGTCGGAGGTATTAGCACAATACAAAACCATAGTAACATCCCCGAGAAAAAGTTACCTCGTGTCATGTACGCTGGATAGTACTTGTCAATTTAAAAATAATTCCCTATTTTAAAAGTCTACAAATCATTCTTCTTTTTTTAATTAAGCAGAATTCTATTAAAACTCTTGACGTCTAATCTGGCAGTATTTCAACTCGGTATTTCATACATTGATTTAATGTATTAACAAGTCCCATATGCATCAGATCACTATGTTTTTCAATTGATTTTTCATTGAATTTAGAGAAACGTCTAATAAATACAAAACCACTTGATGTTGTTTCGTTGTCCGGAAAATCGTTTTCACTATTATTATTATTTAGTAAACAGTTATCAATAAATCCATTGATTTTATTTCTTAAAGATACAGCTGGAAATAAATGATCAAGCATTGTTTCAATCTAAAACAAACAATCACAAATAAAGCAACTCCTAAAATTACATCCGAATCTATTTACGTATTGTTCATGATTAGATTGTATATCATTGAATTGTGTTTTCGATAAGGTTGATAACCATTGTCCTAAACAAAAATAAACTTCTAATGAAAATATATAATAATAGTAAATAGTATTTACCAATAATAAATATTCGTTTTAAATAACGGCAGCGCATTGAATGAATACAAGATGAATATTGATTTTTGACTGATAGAGTTTCGTACGATTTACTGTGTTCTAATAATAGTAAACAAACAGCTGCACAAGACATTTTCGCTTCATTTATCGATCGACGTCTCTAGAAGAAAACAAACTATAAATACAACAATGACTGAGCAAATGATGAAAACACGTACAATCGTATTTAGTTTAATAATTGCGATCGACGCATAAAATAATAATTGACATTTTGCTTCATATAAATATGGATCAATGTCATTGGTAGATGATGAATTAAACAAAAATTCAGATAAACTAGAGGCAAATTAAGATAAATATTTGTTTATGAATTAAATCCATTTACTCATTCAAAGCATCAGCTGTAGGATCCCAATAAGTTTCATATAAACTACTTTCCAATCTCCGAAAGCCAACATCAATAGCATAGTAAAAGATTGTTGTTGTCGGTAGATTAGATGTCTAATCAATAGAAAAATTCTTAATTTTATATTTTATCTTTAATAACTCAACGCATACCAGTAATGTTTGAAGCGCATTGGTATTCCAATCAATATTATCTGAATTATTCTGTTCATCAATTTCAGTTAATAGCGGAAAATTTTTCATAATTGTTGTCATCTAAAACTATAGATAAAAATCAATGTAACTGTTCTCTCATACATATCACGTGCTGTCTGAAGTTGCTGCGAGCATCGCGAAATAAAAGACTATATGGGGTCAAACACGCTACGCGAATGAAAACTGAATTAACCATTAATTTGCTTCAAAAAGATGACTTAAATCTGAATTAACTAATCACATTACTTAATTTGGTTTTATTATTTTAGTGTGTTTGACCCCTAAGTGTCGCTACTAGACAATTTTGTTCTTATTAGTTGATCAACACAACCAATTGAGTCTTACCTACTTTCATCAATAAAAATATATTACAAAATTACTAAGTAATCCATTTTTGGAGTATATTCAATTGAGAATTATAATTTTTCTCATTGGTTTTAGATCAAGAAATGGACGATGAAGCGTTAACCTATAACTTATGGCGTATGCGAAGAACAGTTTTGCAAGTAAAATGACCAGATTTCGCTTTGATATATACATATAAGTATGTTAACTTTGAAAGATGTGTCATGATCGTGGTTATCTTGTAAGTCAAGATGAACTTGATCAAACATTGGAACAATTTAAAGATACATTTGGTGATAAGCCTAGGTAAAAATATAATTTTTCTCTTCTAAGAAGATTTTTATTAAATTATTTCCTAGTGAAAATAAACCTGCTCGATCACATTTAAACGTTTTAGTGGCTCATAATGATGATCCAACAAATACATTAGTTGCACGATTTGCTGATCAAGAGAAAATCGGTACTAAAGAAGTCAGAGATTTCATTTCACGAATGTGCGATGAAAGTATTACTAGTACAATACTTGTTGTTCAAAAAGGTGTAACACCAGTGGCTCGTGATGTAGGAAAAGTTTTATTTCCAAGTACAACAATAGAAATGAATTGTTTTTTTATTCTTCAGATTATTCTAAATGAATTAGAAAGTAAAAAAGTTCAATTTCAAGTTTTTCTTGAAAGCGAATTATTAGTTAATATCACAGAACATGTTGTAAGAATTCGATAACGATTTATGAAGTTTCCTATTGAAAATAAACTCGTTTAGCTCGTTCCAAAACATGTTATCTTAACACCAGAAGAAAAACAAGAGTTATTACTGAGATAGTAAGAAAAAAATATTTTGAGTTTTGCACCTTCAGTTAATTACATAATTATTATTTCAGTCGACTTAAAGAAAGTCAGTTACCACGCATTCAAGCAAGTGATCCTGTTGCTCGTTATTTTGGTTTAACTCGTGGTCAAGTAAGTTAATACTTATGTATGATCTCATTTTTTGTATTTGTATAATATTTAAGGTAGTACGAATTACTCGGACATCGGAAACGTCTGGTCGTTATATAACATATCGTTTGGTTACCTAAATCAAAATGAAAAATTTTCTCAATCAAAAGAGTTTTATCAACTTTTTTTGTTTTTTTCTCTTTTAATAATTTTAAGTCAATTAAAATTAAATAAGAAAATAATTAACATTTGAAAATATACCCTTCATTCAACCAAAGATTTGAATTGATGTGAAATTTACCCACTAGATTTTAATGTTTTTATTATGCAGAACAAGTTTTTTTAATTGCGAAACTTTCCTAAGGAAAACACTATTTCTATTGAGACAGAAAAAAAGAAATAGTGAAAATTATTTTTAGATATATGTACAAATGACATTTAAATTGGAAGAATTACCAAGTGAGCTTCTATGGGTCATTTTGGAATATATTCCACCAATGGATTTATTTCGTACATTTTTTAATCTCAATCAACGTTTTAATAAGATTCTTCGTTTACTACATTATCGATTTAATCTTTCGTGTATCAATCGAAATCAATTTAATTATTTTCTTAATACTATTCTTCCAAGTATTGAACACAACTGGATAGAATCATTGTATATTGATGATATTAGTGATCGGATCTATTCGATTAGTACATTTAAAAGTTTACAATCGTTAACAATTCATCATTTACGTACAGAAAATATCGTTTCATTAGCCAACGATATTTTAGTGGAATTAAAAAAATTAAATTCTTTACGATTATATTCAGAATTTGAATTACAAGAACGAGATATTAATTCATTGATGATTGTTATTTTTAGTCAACGAATGCCTTCGTTAGAATATTGTTATTTAGGCTTTCAAGATCATGGCTACGTGGGTTTCGATGGCTTAGATTCAATAAATCAAACATTATCTTTAAAAAAATTAATTATTGATCGATGGTGTCGAATAAGAGATTTTATTCGATTGCTTCATTTCATACCGAATATTACACATTTAACAATTCGTCTATTTGATTTAAATGTTAAAGGGTAAAGTTAAAATTAATGTTTGCTACTGTGAGTGTTCCGTATTTGCCTGTAAGAATGTTGTTGTTATGCTTTCTTACCTATAGGGAAAAATTCCTGCAGCGTAGATTTGAATTTTACTATCGATAAATCGACATCAACATAGATGAATCAGTTGCACAATTAAAAGATAAAATAATATGAGCTGAATAGGTAAGCTGTGAAGAAAAAACTTTTCAATTATATCCTAGTGATGAGATACATAACGAAAAATTCAAAATATGTTATTTTTCGTTTCGTTCTGCTCTTATTTCGATTCATTAAAGTTTCGAGCAGTCGACTGAATGAATCTGAGCAACAGAGTACTACCAATTTTTCCAGGGTAAATTCTGACTATTAAAGAAAATCAAACGTATAGATAGGAAACTTTCGAATTCTACAGTGAAAGTGTGCCTAAGTTAATAACACTTTTCTAGAAAGTCATCTTGAGATTTTCATAGGAAGAGAACATCGCCTCCTAAACTGAGATCTTCTTTCTGGAGCATGATCTAAACGGTATTATTGTTCGCATCGCAGCGCCTATTTTAGATTTTAATTACACAATAATTGCATTAATAGTGTTTTGATTTGCTTGAAGATTTATATTTACTTTGCCTGTAACTAACTTTTGAAATGAATATTTCCTCTATATTCTAGACCGTTTGTTCAATCTCTTAATACGATTAATGATTTTACAACACTTGTACCTAATTTAATTTATCTTCGAGCTAAACTTGCTGAAATTCCGTTTGAAATCGCTACGAAATTATTATTTCTCCGTTTGCCATCTAATCTCCGAGAATTATCACTTTCAACATGGTCTATTGGCTATGGAAATGGCGATTCTTGGAAAAGTCTTCTTTCATCGAAGTTTCCATATTTAAAACATTTTCGTTTGATTATTTCTCTGGATCGTATCCCTCAGAATTATCTAGTCGCAAGCATCGCTGACCTTGATAATATTGCTAAATCATTTAATCAATCGAAATATTTTCTTGATCATCATTGGAATGTTCTCATTAACGTCAATGATCACGATCGTCTTAAATTCGTTTTGCACACAGTACAATATCCAATAGAAAACTTTCAAACAACACTTTACGATACTCGCCATTGCACAATGTCACTATCAATGATGAAATCAGCTTATCATCATGTTAGCAAATTAAGTTTGACATTATTTGATGAACGAATTTCATCATCAGCCAATCTGACTGAACATCGTTATTTCCCTAATCTTAACCAATTAACTTTTCTTTCCAATATAAGAAATGAATATCCTGAATATTCACCAGACGAATATTTTAATGATTTAAAAAGCATGATTAATCTATCGACTATAACATGCATAAATTTTGCTGAAGAAAATCATCATTATCCAAATAAATTAGTCAATTTATTGTTAAAAAGTCTACCTAAACTTCATACATTAATTATACCCTACCGATTATATACATGTCTAGAAACACAATCGATATGTAATTTGAAAATGTTAACATTAATCTTCGCTGCTTATTCATCAATATCACCGCCGGCAACAAGAATGAGAGATATATTAACAAGACATCAAATATTAACAAATGATTTGATATTAGAACTTCTTCAAACATTATTTTCGTCTTTTCCTGATATACAAACATTGACATTGACTGTAAGAGGTTTAGACGGCTTTGATAGTCAGTTTTCTGAATGGCTTAAAGCTAACTTGTCAATGGAACGAAATATTGCATATGATTTATTGCTACCAGATAAAATCCTTCAATTTTATTTTTAGATTAGAAAATAAAATCATGTCATCTCACGAAATGCAAATATCGAAATTCGATATTCTTCCCAATGAAGTCCTGCTGGAAATATTTGAATATTTACCACCTGCATATACTTTCGAAACATTTTATTTTCTTAACAAACGGTACAATAGTCTACTCCGTTCGATTCGTCTTCGTGTTGACCTATTCAATGTTTCTAAACAAATTTTTGATTATTACCATTATTTTTTATTTCCTGATGTTTCACATTGCATTGTTTCATTGCGTTGCGAGGACGTCTTCGATCGTTTAACTTATCAAATAAATTTGTCAAATTTTATTTCGCTTGAATATTTAACAATAACAAATATAAAGCTGTCAACTCTGAAAAATATTATCCCGCATATAAATAGATTTCCGAATCTTACGTATTTAAATTTACAAATGTCAGCGGAAGCATCAATGACTCGCAAACTTTATTTTGAACAACCAATGCCATCAATTGAAAAATGTATTCTTAATTTTAATAGAAGACTCATTATTGAAGGTGAACAATGCTATTCAAATCTGAAATATTTAACAATAAGTCGATATCATATTGATGATTTATTATTGTTTCTACATATTTATACACCTGAACTTAAATATTTAACTATTACTTTCAACGATAAATACAATTCAAAAACATTACTTCCAAAAACAGAAAACAAACATCATCTTGAATCACTTACTGTGAAACAATGTCGAGTACCGTTTAATCGCATGGAAAAGCTTATTTTAACTTCACTACCGCGCTTAAAACGACTAAATATACATGCAATGGGTATCGATTATGCTGATGGTAAGTTAATATTATTGATAATTTACTTCCTATGAACTCGATTATCTTAGGAAAACGATGGGAAATGCTTTTATCGAAATGTTTTCCTTTATTAAAAGCATTTTTTCTGCATACAACATTTCCTAAAGAAGAAGCGTCAACCCCAGCTCTTCGTACTCAATTACTTAAAACATTTGAAACAATGTATTTCTCATCACATAATTTGTATTTTGCACTTCTTTATCATCCATCAACATCAGCTATTGATTTATTTTCATTACCCTTGGTTAACCATAGAATTCATGCTAGTCTTTATGATACATATATTGAAAAAACCATGAACGACATAAATATATTTGAAAATGTCAATGAACTTTCGTTATTTTTAACAACATCTGAAGAAAATTTGAAACTGCCGAAGTCATGTTTTTCTAATGTTAAAAATTTGAAACTTATTTCAAGATTTCGTCAATATGAACGCCTTCCACGAAACTTATTTGTTGATATATCTAATTTGGTAACATTTTCAAAATTAGAATCACTTGAATTCATTGGAAATACTTTTCCATCTACAAGTTTTGTCTTATTGGATTATACACCAAAACTTGAATCTCTGTCAATTTCATTTTCGAATTTAATTCAAATGACAAAAGCATTGACTGATCAACATAGTTGTCAGCAATTGACAAAATTAATTAAACATTTAAACATAACGTAAGCAGTCGTTGCTTTTCGTGAAATTACAAGTCACCTGTCCTACAGGTGTTTTTCTATCATGTATACTAAGATTTCATTGCTGATGCAATCGATTAGGTTCAAAGATGAGCCGGAGAAATTTTGAATTTAGCTCGGTTAACTCGACGTGATCTGGAAGTTTTCTCACATAGAAATTATTATTCATTCTTTACGATGATTTTGTTTTGTCAGATTCACAGCATAAATCCTTTCTCAGCTTTTATTTAAAGTTCGAATTGATACTATTAATATCTAATTTAGATCTGCTGATGATTTAAAGGACCTTGCTGTGTTTGAACGTTTACCATTAGTTTTCTGTACTTTGGAATCCTTATCATTACATCTTGCAAATCTAAAAGATGTATATCCATTGTTGATACTTATCCTACAAAAAATGGCTCGAATATTGAACAGGATGAGCATATTTATTGACGTATATACAATTGAAGCTAATATGCTCTATGAATTCAAGATATGGCTAATTGGTTATTTGTATTCACATGAACTTGAAAAAGTTGATGTTCAACAGATTGATAATCAAATCGATTTTTGTTTTTAAAAAGTAGTTTCGTTCTTGAATGAATAAATTCCTATTATTTTTAGATGTCGTTTGAAGCGAGTTTTCCAGATGAGATAATTCTTGAAATATGTCGTTATTTGCATCCGATCGATATTCTTCTATCATTCGGTAAACTCAATAATCGATTAAATCAAACGATTAGTGATTTTATTCGTCATGTACATTTATCATCGATTATTTCACATGAAAATTATCTTCATTTACTTCGTTTTACTCTTCCAGCAATTTGGTCATCCATAGAATCATTGACAATTAGTAATTGTGAAGTACCTTGTTTGACAAAATTATTTTTGGATAATACAGAAAATAATTTACCACCGAATTTAAAAAAGCTATGTTTATTTCATTTAAATACAAATGAAATTTATAAATTTATTACTCGATCGATGAGTAACACAATGATTGAAGAATTAATTATTGAATGTTCGGATACAGACAACGCTAAACAACAAGAATTATATGGATTTAAAATAGCCCAAATGTTGTTTTATCATCATCCAACATTAAAATCGATTGAATTAAGTGGTGAAATTGTATTTGATTTAAGTCATTTATCATTTTTATCATTATCGAGTAGCAACGATTCAAATGTAAGTTCCTTCTTTCGGAAACTGTGAGCCAATTTTTTTGTTTAAAGAACTATAAAATTGTGTTAGTAGGAGAAAAGCAATTTTTTGGCTCAGGAAATTCAATACAGCGTTAGTTTTTATCGGCACCAGCATAGTTCATAGTCTATTAGAAACACTGTCCATTACTGTTGCTAGTAGACAAAGTCTGACTCAAACAAGGAAGTAGAAATAAAAAATCGACTGAACTGCCTAATCTTCTTTGTTTTTGTACTAAAAGCTATATTCTATAATTATATTTTAGTCGATGAGCATTGTGGATGTTGGTGGTTCGTCTATTCTTCGTCGATTAACAATTCCTCTTCAATCGTTAAGTAGTTTACATTTACTTCTTATCTATCAACCGGATCTTGAATATTTACACGTACATATTGGTGATGCTAAATCAACTTTTGATTATACAATAACGCCATTTTCGCCATTAGTAAATCTCCGAGAATTTCATTTACGGTCAGATGATTTGTCAATTAAATTTAAAAATATCGTTGAACTATTAAGCTATTTTCCAAATTTAAAAGCTTTATCACTCAATTTAACAACGGAATGTCGTACATTTTTTGATGGAATTGTATTGCAAACACTTGTTCATAAACTTGATTCCTTTGAATTTTCGATCGCACGGTTTTCTCCGCCAACTTGTGAGGAACAAACATTATCAACATTTTATATGCCATTCTGGCTGGAAACGAAAAAATGGTATACGCAATCTTATTGGAACATTGATGAAGACAATGCCGATGCGGATTATTTTCATATTTATTCAGTACCATTTCCATTTTCAAATTTTGATGTTTATAAATGTTCACATGAGAATGTAGTATCAAATGAGAAATTAAAGCCATTTAAAAATGTTACACGTTTGGATTTAAGTGAAACAAGTGATGTTAATATAATACCATTTTTAAAGCGTTGTCCTAATGTTCATACAATTTGTTTAAACGATATTTATGACGACGAGGAAAACTATGGAACTGATGAAGAAGAAGATATTACTGATCAAAATGATGAAAGTAATTATATTGGTTTTTTAAACTAGGATTCAGATAGCCAACTGTTGGTCTTTTCTTTTGAGGCTTAGTTTTAAAAATTTACTAAACAAAGACTTTGCTCATGAGGATCTAACGTGATGCGTGCATTACCTAGGCTTCTAAGAGATGGATCATCTCGAGATCATCCCTAATGAATTAAAATAATTTATCAGTAGGGATTAAAATAAAATAGAACGTAAGATCTTTTTATTAGAAGAAAAAAAAACTATCAATTATTCAACTAAAATATTCTCTTTAGATACTTCAATTAATGATGTTCAATCGATGCCATCATATCAATTACCATTGCCTAGATTGTATAATGTACGTTATATAATATTACTTGCTCTTCCTGAACAAGATCTGGACTTTTTCGAACGTCTTGTACACGTCTCACCGAATCTTACACGTTTAAGTGTATTTTTCGATGATCTACTTGAAATAATTGATTTACCTAAAAAAAATTTATGTCAACTGCTTCAAAAGTGCATCGATCAACTAGAAATAAATCTTGATTATTCATGGTCCACATCAGATGTTCACCGTGACATTCCAAAAATTCTTCGTATTTTTTCAAATATTAAATCATTAAAAATAGCACTTCATTCGTCACAGAAACGTTCGTCTATGATAATTCAAGAAATTTTAATTCAACTACTGAAACATAACAGAAATCTTACTTCAATTACGATTGATGGTGATTTATTAACAGGTTTTGAGCAGATATTAAAAGACGGTGGTGTTGATCTGATTAAAACATGGCTAATTGAATCGAATCATTGCCGAGTTCAATATAAATATTATTTGAAAAACTGTATTCATATTGAATTGAACTCTTCGTCAATTGCAATTCTTTTATAACTGTTTTGTTTTGCTTGTTATTGTTTAATTGTTACTGATGATTTTATTATCTTTTCGGATGAGCCTATATTTGAAAGTAAAAATAAAAAATTAGTCATCACGTATTCCAAAACGAGGAAAACGACGATAAAGAAATGCCTAATTTGATTTCGAATATCAATTACTTTGAAAAAAGAATGATATCCAAGTCAAAAGAGCCTAAAAGCAAAAGAAAATCTTCACTGAACGACGCAGTTCTGTGGAAAATCAGAATACAGTAGCACTTTGGAACACAATGTAAGCGTCGAAGGGGCCCTTCACGTTAGGGCGACAAGAAAAATTTTCAAATATTCTTCAAAGTGTGACCGCTACAAAAGGAGAACTTAGTAAACTACACACACTACGTATAGCACTCTAGTTGATATCCGTAGCATTACAGGTGATGCTTGGACAAAACATCAAAGTAGTTTTTTGAAATTTCGAACCTATATTCAAGATTGAATTAGACAACTAGACTGCTATATATATATACTCATGTAAACATACTGATATTTCTTTTTTTTTCGCAGGCCAAGACTCATAGTTATTCTAATATAAAGCAAAAATGTATACTGTTCAAGTCAACCATACGATTGATTTGAATTTAGTAAAAGAGAATTAATAATGACAAAAAAGTGAATACGTCCACGGCAGTGGCGGAGCCAGGATTTTGGCCTAGGAGGGCTCAACCCCCTCATCTATTGAGTCATAAGACAATTTTTTTTCTATGTATTTTGATTTTTTCAATGCGATGGGTTGCAAAAATGTTTACTATTATTGTATCTGATAGCGCAGCAAAACCGCATCAAACTGAAGCACGTTCTTAATGCCCAAAAAAGAAGACAAAATTGAAAAAATCAACCGAAACTGAAAAGTTTTATAGCTTGACTTTTGCTGTTTGTCGACTAGTACTCATATCTGAAGAGATTTTTGAAAGATGTGTTTTTGTCTAATCAAATATTTTATTCTCTTCCGAGCAGCTACGAGCTTCACACAATAACTAAAGATTATACCACATCAGTCGATTTTTATTTGCAAAAGCTAGATTAAAATCAATTTAAATCTCAAAGTAGCTAAAAAGTCTATCGTCATACGATCTGAATATCTTATCAGTTTGTTCTATTTTAATTGACTACTCTTTCGATGAGTATTTTGTTTTCCTTACAAAAGTTAAAACTATTAGATAAAAATCACACTAAAGTTGATGCGCATTCGAGCAATATTCAAATGAAATTGTTCGCAGTGTTTGAACGATTTCATTAAAAAAAATAATAGAGCAACACAAACTCTATCAATCAATAACTTTGATGTACTTGTATCATGATGGAATCATTATTAATATAAAATTGATTATAAACGATTCAGATAAACACAGGTTCGTTACAAGCTTCAACATTAACACACAAAATAATTCATTGCACTTGATGCTTATTGTAAAGTTTCTGCACAGGTTATAATCCAATTTAAGGGTGGGATGCACAAAATGATTTCATTTTTAAAGTTTGTATTTCTTATAATAGATTCCTTTCGAATTTCTATGATGATAATCCAATTTTAATGGAGTTTATGCCAAAAGTAATTAGTATTACATTAGGTATGTAATATTAATCAAAATTAGTTAGATTAACAATATGTCGTAAAGATCTTATGTGACAGAGTCAACAATAAAATCCAGTTAAATTCATTAATTTATTCATTCCAATCTAAATATGTTGTTGACTCAACTTTCTGTAATGCTTTTTGGAAAGTTGGTTTCAATCCAACTCTAAGCAGTAAGATTCCAATCAATTTTTATACATGGGTACTACACGGTATGTCAGAGCAACAACATTACAAGAGTTTAAGTGAATATAGCACTTTTTTTCTAAAGTTATGTTTGTTTTTCTAATTTTTTTCTTTTTGTGCTGAATCATCAATAAAAGTAAAATAAATGAATTTTGATCTGAAAATCTGTTAGTAAATAGGAGAACTGGGCAGTAAAACACCATGAAACTGTTAGTCATAAGAAATGTGTTGCCTCAATATGCTCACTTTTTGAAGAGCAACCCATTTTTCTTGAGGGTGTGAGTGTGGAGTTTGGTAATAGGTTAACACAGGGGAAATACGATCATAGATATCTACCACCCCACGTACACACTTTGACGCAGAAGAGTAAGAGAAACGAATTGGCGAAAAAATCAATGCATTGAAGGAGGAGTACTGACAAATTTCAAAAAATCAGCGGTAAGACAGTCTATTATTTGGCTTTGTTCAATGCCTGTTCGAAGTCTTGAATGATATCTTCCGACTCTTCGAGGCCAATGGACACTCTTAAGAGGGCAGCGCTGACACTGGTATCGTGCATGTGACGCCAATCAATCAATGTTTCGACGCCACCCAAACTGGTAGCTGGGGTACAGAGAATCAACGATTGAGCAAAGGATTTGGCCTGAGACTCGGACTCAAGTTCGAAGCTAAACGTAGCCGGTGGAAGAAGAAGATACCGAGTAGCGATAGAGTAATTTGGGTGTGACGCTAAACTCGGATGATGAACTTTCTTCACTTTACGCCCATCTATCCGTTGTTTCTCAAGCCATTCAACTACGATTGACGCTGTCTGACATTGTCGTCGAACACGAAGGGAAAGAGTTCTAATCGATCTTAGTAGAAGCCATGTTTCTAGATTACCCATAACAGCGCCATCAATAGTGCGTTCCGCTAGGAGTTTACAAGCGAGCACATCAGATAATGAAGAGTGCACAATGAGAACACCACCAAGTAAATCACTGTGCCCAGCGAGATATTTGGTTGATGCATGCATGACTACATGCGCTCCGTGCTCAAGTGGACGTTGACCAAGTGGAGATGAAATGGTGCTGTCAACTGCAAGGCAAGCGCCAGTTCGAGAGGCTAGTTCCGAAAACCACTCAATATCAGCCACATTCGCATATGGATTGTTTGGACTCTCAACCCAAATCAAGTCGAGAGCACGCTCTTCTTTCGTATCCACCGGATGCCAAAGTGTACGCTCTGTACGAGGCTGACTTTCCCTTTGTTCATACAGTTGTTTACATTGTTCTAAAGTAAAAACTTCAAATATTTCACTTCCAAAGCTTCCACGTTCGCTCCAAAGTTTAAATGCAGCTCTTACGCCATGATAGCCTGCATCGACGTACATGCGTCGTGGTTTAATGCAATGAATTAGCGCTGTCGCTGCACTAAGTCCACTCGAATAAGTTATTGCTTGACCACCTTCTACTGCTCCAAGCAATGCTTCGACTCGTGTCCTGGTAACAGTATTCAATCGACTGTATACTTGACCACATGATTCTGGTGCGCCGGAAACAAAAGTTGTCGATACGTGAAGAGGTGCGGCAATATCCCCAGTAGTTTCGATACCGTCATCACCATGACATTCAATTGTAGAGCCATGAATGGGAAATGGCAGATTGTGTGGTTTTAATGACGATTTTGAAGCTGAGCAGTGACTCCGCACGTTCATGCTATCATCAGTATTACTCATGAAATGTGTTAGTAGCTAAAAATATGAAAAAGTGGTTTCTATTTCAGAGTGTACTACAGAAGCAGACGATTTTCGAAGATCAGATGCTTACAGTGAATCCATCTGTTTTTTAGTATACTGATACAATGTAATTTAACTGTAATGCGAACCTCGACAAGTAGCTTTTGTTTAGAGCGATCTTGACTGTGGGTGTGGGTTTATTGATATTTACATGCCTTAGTCACTCCCTGTCACTGCCACTCACACCCACCCGCTCATACTCTAACAGAAATACAGGGCAACAAAGAAAGCTCTTAGAAATAATATAATCAAGTTTTATACGAATCTCAAGTGTGGTTGTCTCACCAATTCAGGAGGATCTGATAATACGACACTAATTATTCTTATAAAACTAGTGTGCATGTAAGTGGGTAAATGATACTACAATGGGAGTACAATAAAAATGATATATAATATATGAGATAATTATATATATACGGACACTTGTGACTTCTATTCAATAAAGTATATTTTAGAACAAAAGAACAATCTCTTTTCAACTTTGATAACATCATTTGATCTATCGAATTAAACTGTGCGCTTCATATTATGAGGAAGATTACTAGTGTGCTGTATGATTGGTTCCATGACATCTTTTTTTGACATCAAAATAATTCAAGTCCTGTATTGTTCGCGGAAGAGAGAAGCTTTCTCCAAGACAGTATCCTTTGAAAACAAAACTTTCAGGAAAAACGTTTAAAATAGGAAAATATGGTAAGTTCGATACACTTTGTAGGCATCTTCAGTCTATGAACTCCTATTAAAACGATACTCGACTCGAAAGATACCATCATATAATTGAACAAAAATGCGCATCTAAGAGACCAGCTATTTTTTCAAATCAATTATGAAAGGCAACTAACCGGTACTAATCACATCCTATATTAGCTTCTTTTATATATCTATAATGAATTTGGTCTACAGTTTTGTATTCCTTATAGAATACAAAGGTAGCCTCGATCTGTCGAAGAATGTACTGAAAGTGGCGAAATGAATTTCTTCTTTTGTGCCAAGATCGCTTTACAATGTAAAAATCGCTAGTGTTTCAGTAATGATTTTACATACGGTACTCAAAAAGTACCCTTAGTTAATGCAGAAAAATCATATCAACACGTGAGCAAGAGAAAAGTTTAGTTCTTACCTGTGCTTCTGTTTTCTAGAGCAGAAAATGAAATTGTAATGTTAATCATCGAGTGCTATCAGACAAGCAAAAGAGTACTGTCGTGTTGCAACAGCTTCCTCGAGTACGATAAGATCTGCACTGATAACAGGATTCAGTGACACAAACATACAGTACACTAGTAATCTTCCTCATAATATGAAGCGCACAGTTTAATTCGATAGATCAAATGATGTTATCAAAGTTGAAAAGAGATTGTTCTTTTGTTCTAAAATATACTTTATTGAATAGAAGTCACAAGTGTCCGTATATATATAATTATCTCATATATTATATATCATTTTTATTGTACTCCCATTGTAGTATCATTTACCCACTTACATGCACACTAGTTTTATAAGAATAATTAGTGTCGTATTATCAGATCCTCCTGAATTGGTGAGACAACCACACTTGAGATTCGTATAAAACTTGATTATATTATTTCTAAGAGCTTTCTTTGTTGCCCTGTATTTCTGTTAGAGTATGAGCGGGTGGGTGTGAGTGGCAGTGACAGGGAGTGACTAAGGCATGTAAATATCAATAAACCCACACCCACAGTCAAGATCGCTCTAAACAAAAGCTACTTGTCGAGGTTCGCATTACAGTTAAATTACATTGTATCAGTATACTAAAAAACAGATGGATTCACTGTAAGCATCTGATCTTCGAAAATCGTCTGCTTCTGTAGTACACTCTGAAATAGAAACCACTTTTTCATATTTTTAGCTACTAACACATTTCATGAGTAATACTGATGATAGCATGAACGTGCGGAGTCACTGCTCAGCTTCAAAATCGTCATTAAAACCACACAATCTGCCATTTCCCATTCATGGCTCTACAATTGAATGTCATGGTGATGACGGTATCGAAACTACTGGGGATATTGCCGCACCTCTTCACGTATCGACAACTTTTGTTTCCGGCGCACCAGAATCATGTGGTCAAGTATACAGTCGATTGAATACTGTTACCAGGACACGAGTCGAAGCATTGCTTGGAGCAGTAGAAGGTGGTCAAGCAATAACTTATTCGAGTGGACTTAGTGCAGCGACAGCGCTAATTCATTGCATTAAACCACGACGCATGTACGTCGATGCAGGCTATCATGGCGTAAGAGCTGCATTTAAACTTTGGAGCGAACGTGGAAGCTTTGGAAGTGAAATATTTGAAGTTTTTACTTTAGAACAATGTAAACAACTGTATGAACAAAGGGAAAGTCAGCCTCGTACAGAGCGTACACTTTGGCATCCGGTGGATACGAAAGAAGAGCGTGCTCTCGACTTGATTTGGGTTGAGAGTCCAAACAATCCATATGCGAATGTGGCTGATATTGAGTGGTTTTCGGAACTAGCC